ACTTTCCCAGTTAAAACTGTTCACAATTTACTTCGTTGTCAAGAACAGACCAGTCTATAAATAGAGGCCGTCTCGTCAATCTATCATTGACCAGAGAGTGCGCTCTCTGGTAAGAGAGTAATATGAATTTCTTTAGAATGACTCATCTAACTATTTTTCCCAGAATTCAAATCTACACTAGCGCACTTGCAGTTTCACCCCGACGTAACTAGTCAGCCCATGGGCTAACTACAGTCCCTGAAACGTTCTACTTTCCCACTTGAACGGTGAGCGAACGCTGAACGAACGGTGAACGAACGCAGAGCGAACGGTGAATGAACGATGTGTGAACGCTGAACGCAACTTGGTGAACGATGTGTGAACGGTGAGCGAACGCAGAACGCGAACGGAGCGCAAACGCGAACGCAAAGTGAACGGTGAACGAACGGTGAACGCAAGATGAACGATTTATTCGGAATGCCTCTGATCTTTTCCTTGCATTGAAACTATTCTATTGTATGTACGCCTGGTGCTAAAAAAATTAATGAATAATAAAGAAATAAACAAATCAATGAAAGACGATACATGCACAATAAGTAAAATTATTAATTTAAGTTTCTTATAATATTTTCTGCACATATGTACGATGCTTAAATTAAACTTTTTAATAAGACGATTTTTATCGCTGTAAAACATAGTAATTGTTACCGAACACTGTAGTATTAAAGATAAAATCAATCTAGTTGTAAAATAAATATGTTTATTCTTATTTGATATATAAAATCATTACAAATAATATGGATTTTAGAAGAGCAAACTACGGACTTATAGAATGAATTACAACGGTTGTAACAACCATACATATATTTTCGTGCCAAGACGATTCCGTGTAAAATAATGAGAAAAAAATTAAAATATTTTACAAAGGTATGTGGAGGTATTGCATAAATACACCCGTATTTTAAAACTTTAATGCAATAATATATTTATGAGTCAGTTTTATTTTTTATGATGATTTATTGAGCAGACTTCTACATGTAACTGTAGACATTTCCCGGCCGTGATTATACTCGGATAAGATGATACAAAAAGGCATTCATATTATTTGTAATATATTAAATTTTCACAAGTTGATATTTAAGTAATATGTTGTCATAGTTTTTCTATTAAACAGACAAATGAAAGAGAGAGAGAGAGAGAGATTCGGTTTTAGCCCCCCCCCCCCCCACCTTTCTCAAATGTTTGTACCTACATGTATATCAAATAAAGATTCTTAATTTTTTTTTCTAAATATACCAGGCAATGAAAGAAACTATTTTTATCAACAAATCTATTTGTTTTACAGTCGTAATCGGTTTTTTTTTCTTGCTTTAAGTTCACACAAAGTCCACGTGCTTGACCTGTCAATCAAAATCATTCGACACTGTGCAGGTGTGAAAGTCTCGTCGCACCGAAGGCAAAGTGTTAAGTATTTCTAAGAAGTTTTAACATTTTTTCTTATCATTCTAAATCTGATTCCAACATTTCTAAAAAAAAAATAATAAATAAATAAAATACATTGGGAATAAACACTTGGAATGATTAAACCGCTTGAATTTGAAACCTACTCCCTGCCAATTTAAAATATCACCGCCGGCACATGTATATTTTGAACTACTATTGTTTAATGACTTTGTTTAGATGCATATTTGTTTTGAGACTGATGTCTTTGTGCTACAAAACACATAAACTTCTATGTTAATTAAAATATACCGAAAATACTAACTAAGTAACCGATTTACGGGAAGGAGGGGGGGGGGGGCTCTTAATTATATCGAATGGCAAACATAAAAATATCATTACTGGAGAATCACTTTGGTTATATTAACGATAATTATGTTATAAAGGCATTTCTCTCTCTCTCTAATTAAAGACTTTATATATGTAAAGTAGAAAAAAAATCTTTAATGTATTACATTTTTTAAAAAAATATTTTTTTTTCAAACCACACTATCAATTTAATTCGCTCTAAAGATATTTAATCAACTGGATATCTGCAGTACAGTTTATAATCCTCAGAATTAGTTTTAACATGTATTTCTGTATTATTTGTGAAAAAATGTGTTAGAAATAAATATTTTCGTAATTCTGCTGAAGTTGGTAAATTAATTGACTTCGGTTATTATCTATCCATTAACAATTTGTCGTCTTTAACATAACAACAAAATGTTGCAGTGCTTGAAGCATCTGTATATTTCCCGTATTTAAATTTAATTTTTCAGCATCGTTCTACATAGGTACATATACGTATTTATAACAACATTTATTTTCCAGATAAATTTAATAAATAACCTAACAGCTAAGTTAGAATAATAAAAATAAATATTGTAGATAATTTTTTTCTTTTAACACGATATGTTAATTATTAAATTTGTAAATCCTTACTTAAATAAAGATAAGTCCATTCACTTCGGAGTTCCGAATGACAGTAAAGACTGAACGATGTGAACGCTGAACGCAAGGTGAACGCAAAGTGAACGAACGAAGAGCGAACGCTGAACGCTTTGTGAACGGTGAACGCGAGCGCACGGTGAACGCTGAACGCAAAACTGTGAACGGAGAGCGAACGGTGAACGCACGGTGAACGCACGCTGAACGAACGGTGAACGAACGGTGAGCGAACGGAAAAATGGGAAAGTAGAACGTTTCAGGGACTGTAATAAATGACCAGTCAGTCAGTGGCATGTCTTAGATATTCGTTAATCTGTAGTATTTGGTTATGACATTCGAGAAAGTCAGTTGTACATCTTGTGTGATGAAGTATTGCAACTATGTTGCTCCATGGTGACGGAAACGTTTAGCACCTCTCTTGCTTATACGTTCCATAAATATTGATTGATTAGTCAGGCAAGCTTTTTGAAAAGTTATTACAGCTGAACTTCGAATTCTCGAACACGGATATCCCGGATATGTCGAAGTAAGGCCGCGGTCCCGACGAAATTTGATTTATAAATGATTAAAATAAACCCCTCTATGTCGAACACGGCAATGTCGAATACCCCAGTTATCTCGAAGTAAAATTGTGTACCCATCTATTAAAATCACATGCGTTATCTCGAAGTTAGGATAATTTTCCGCTCTGATGATCAAGTCCGTTAGGTAAACTGACCGCTCTATTGATAACAGCCACCTGTCTGTCATGCACGGGTTACCTGTGTTCCTGTGATCAACAAATAATAGTGCGATAGTTATACGAGGTGTATGTATGGCTTACCTTGATTTTAATTATGCAATTATGCAAGCCAAAGGTTGTGTGTATTAGTCTTATGCATACGCGTGGATGACACGTTAATTGTTTCGTGGCTGGGGTACGTTTATTTTGATAATCGCTATTTAATGCTATGTGTAATATGCGTGCTTGCATAGTTAATGCATATGAAAGCGAAAATTATAAACATCAAAGTGAAACAAAATTCTGTAATTTAATGCAATTAGAATTTATTTTTCCTATGTGTATATGAGTGCGCAGAATTTACAACCGTCGGTACACACCACCATGTGAGCGTGTGTCGCAGTGAAAACTTCTGCTATAGTGCCCTGAGATTCAGTGTTCTTCTGTAGTTAAACAAAAGTGCTTGTTTCTTCTATTGCATTTGATTTTATTATGGTTAAATATTTTATTTAAATGATTATACATGTATGAACATGTTTTTCCAAATAAAAAAAATGTATATTTCGTTTGCGTTATTCTGACAGCGACCGGTTTTAAATTTACAATGCATAGACGATATCCGGTTATGTATACATGGGAAACGATGCTAGCGGTTGACTTGCCGGGTTGGTAAAAGGATTATACGTCTGTGCATATTATACAAAGTTTTTATTTTGTGAATTATATAGAAGATGTAAAAATCTTTTTAATGCTAATTACATGTATATTAAAGAAAACGTTTACAGAATTTCAAACAAGAAGGAATATGACATGTTTCTACTATTAAGTGCATGTTCACTGCACTAAGTTTATTTGAAGTTCATTAGAATTATAACCCTCGATATGTCGAACCCCCAGATATCTCGAAGTTCATCAACGATCCCGTCAACTTCGAGATAACGAAGTTTAACTGTACTTGTACAATGTATAAAAATCTTGCTTTACCAAAATTTGCATATGGTTTGAGAGGGGGTAGGGGCACAAGGGCATTAGCAAAAGGTAGACCTCTTTACATTAAGTTTTCTTATGAATTTCTTATGTATTTACAGCACTTGATGTCAGCTCTTACTTTTGTTTATGCCCTTCCTCCCCTCACCTCCATCATTTCCTCTTAACAGTAACAACTCAGAAACAATCAGGTAACAAAAAAGCAACAACAAAAATATTTATTTGTACCAAATTGGAACACATTTTAAATTTTGCTGTAATTTTTCTATGGGTGTACTGTAAAATCACTCATTTTCTTGGGGTCAAATTTTTTTGGTTTGAGGAGAAAAAAAAAATGTTTGAGAAGATTTGATTTTGTGAAATGTGAAATTTTGAAGAAATGCAGTGATGTTTTGATTGGAAATTTTAACATTTTATGGTGAAACATGAATTTGTGGATATCTTTTATAATACAAAAACAATAAAAAAAAAAAAAAACCCTTGAAAATTAGTGATTTCATAATATTTGATTACCGTGTATACTCGCCTATAAGTCACATTTTTGGAGGTAAACTTTGGTCCAAAACTCTTTATCCGACTTACACGCGAGTTATAAAAAAATTGGTATTTTAATGGGTCAAGCCCTCTAATTTGAGCTTAAAAAATACAACCGACTTATAGGTGAGTATATAAGGTATGTGTACCATATAGCAAGTCCCTGTAAGTTTTGCTGTCTGGGGCTAAGGATATGATACATACATAAAAAGTGTTTTTATTTTAGGCAAAATTGTAACCATGAATCAAACACAAAAATAACGTGCAAGATAATATTTGATACCTGATAAATGTGTGCAGAAATATTCAAAGAATACACTTTTTATATCACAAACTTGATAGAATTGCACATCTCTGACAGATTATAGATTTAGATAGCCCTTAAACTTGGTCATAAGTTTGAGGGTGTTTGTTGCATCACATAATTACTGCCCTGATGACTTAATTGCAAATTCTCAACATTGTTTATCTGTAGATGGATGGACCTTTCTGTATAAGTTAGTGCAGGATCATCTGGTGAGAGTGATAGGAAGTCAGATCTGGTACTCAGTGGAACACCTTTGGGAAAACTTTTTTCATCAGGAATGGAGAAATCCATGGCTTCAGGGTTGATTGATGAGGGGGTAGATTCCTCAGAATTAGGTTCCACAAGATTGAGGCGCAGTAGTCTTTCCTTGACCCTTTCATCCACAAGGTCACGAATGATCTGGTCCTCATTTTTATGAATCATTTTAATTTCCTCACTTAAAAATGTAATTTTGTCATTTAATTCATCAATTGTCTGTTGGAAATTATTTTCCTTCTGATGAAAGTTTTCAGCCAGTTTTGTTTTCTCCGTTTCAAAGCCTATTTTACAAGTATTATATGCCCTATGCAGGGGGAGTTTTCTCCTGTTTACAAGGTTTCTTGTGTGTTCAAGTTCATGCACCACTAGTTCCATGTTCAAAGATTCTTGATCAAGTGCAAGATCTTCCCCAAGCACCAGAAGAGACACCTTCTCACAGATTTGCTCCAAGTCTTCTATTCTCAACTCTAACTGCTTTATTTTAGGACGTAGGTCCACCTGACAATGTGAATCAGTCTTGTGTTTGGAGTTGAACTCTTTGAGGAAATTGTTCATCTTTTTAACATAGTGTTCATTAACTGTTTTCTCTAAGAGCAAGGTTTCAGTCAGAGCCTGGTATCCACCTTTCTTTTTCTTTAACATTTCCACTAGTTTGGGATTTCTGTCACAGCTGTCCTGCAGTCTCTGTTTAATGATCAAGTACTGTTATTATTTAAAGGATGGATTGAGAACACTAAAAGTTTAAAGGTATGATAAATCAATTAATAAGAATGTGAAATGAATATTGTATTGATTGGCCATAGTATTTATGTAAAAGATCAGATTTTTCGTAAGTAACAAAGAGTTTTAAAAATTTAATTTTGAATGCCTTTTAGGCATTCTAAAGCTAACACTGAATATCAACTTTTATCAACTAACTTAAATACTGAACAACAGATTTTGTTGTTTAAATGAAATTTGAAGTGATTTTTGAATATTTTGTATGTATATTCATCTTTGTGAAAAATTAAAGTAATCTAACTTCAAAGGGATTTATTGAACCCTTGTCAGTAGTTGGCAAACCTGGGACCAGCATTCTATTGGTCAATAGCCATTGAATTGAAACAAAATGGAAGAACAACCACTTGACTTAAAAGATAAGTAAAAAAATTCTCTGAATTTGTCAGTTATCAAAATTCCAAAAATGCTATCAAATCTTGCTGAGATAAGTATTTACACTGAGATATTCTCTGTCTTGTCGAGATAACATTCCTCTAAACTCGAGGCGCTGAAGAATACTTGATGACACCAGTACAGAAATCTTGATGTCCTTGGCACAACGATTAAGGACCTTTATCTCGTTTGCTTCCATTGTTCATCTAAAGAGAAATGCAAGAAATGTCAAAGGAAGAAAGTAAACCTCATTTAAAAAAAAAAAGAAAGAAATGTATGAACCTCTTGCAATTTTATTAGATTTAATATCATTTTGTAATATTGCATATTTAAATTCTGAGCATTCTGACCTAAAGTTAATTAGGGAATAACTGCCTTCTCATTAAATTTTGTTGTTTGTTATTTGTATACATATTTATCACTCAGGCCTTAAACTTAAAAATAGGGCTCAGGCGATACAACTTTTTAGCTCACCTGAGCTGAAAGCTCAAGTGAGCTTTTCTGATCACCCGTTGTCCGTCGTCCGTCCGTCCGTCCGTCCATCCGTCCGTCTGTCTGTCCGTCCATCTGTAAACTTTTCACATTTTCAACTTCTTCTCAAGAACCACTGGGCCAATTTTAACCAAACTTGGTACAAAGCATCCTTGGGTGAAGGGGAGTTTAAATTGTTAAAATAAAGGGCCAAGCCCCCTTCCAAGGGGAGATAATCAAGAAAAGACAAAAATAGGGTGGGGTCATTAAAAAATCTTCTTCTCAAGAACCACTGGGCCAGAAAAGCTGAAACTTATGTGAAAGCATCCTGGGGTAGTGTAGATTCTAAATTGTTAAAATCATGACCCCCGGGGGTAGGGCGGGGCCACAATAGGGAATCCAAGTTTTACATTGAAAAATGTAGAAAAAAATCTTTAAAAATCTTCTTCTCAAGAACCACTGGGCCAGAAAAGCTGAAACTTATGTGGAAGCATCCTGGGGTAGTGTAGATTCTAAATTGTAAAAATCATGACCCCCGGGGGTAGGGCGGGGCCACAATAGGGAATCCAAGTTTTACATTGAAATATGTAGAAAATATCTTTAAAAATTTTCTTCTCAAGAACCACTGGGCCAGAAAAGCTGAAACTTATGTTGAAGCATCCTGAGGTAGTGTAGATTCTAAATTGTTCAAATCATGACCCCCGGGGGTAGGGCAGGGCCACAATAGGGAATCCAAGTTTTACATTGAAATATGTAGAAAAAATCTTTAAAAATCTTCTTCTCAAGAACCACTGGGCCAGAAAAGCTGAAACTTATGTTGAAGCATCCTGGGGTAGTGTAGATTCTAAATTGTTAAAATCATGACCCCCGGGGGTAGGGCGGGGCCACAATAGGGAATCCAAGTTTTACATTGAAATATGTAGAAAAAATCTTTAAAAATCTTCTTCTCAAGAACCACTGGGCCAGAAAAGCTGAAACTTATGTGAAAGCATCCTGGGGTAGTGTAGATTCTAAATTGTAAAAATCATGACCCCCGGGGGTAGGGCGGGGCCACAATAGGGAATCCAAGTTTTACATTGAAAAATGTAGAAAAAAATCTTTAAAAATCTTCTTCTGAAGAACCACTGGGCCAGAAAAGCTGAAACTTATGTGGAAGCATCCTGGGGTAGTGTAGATTCTAAATTGTTCAAATCATGACCCCCGGGGGTAGGGCGGGGCCACAACAGGGAATCCAAGTTTTACATTGAAATATGTAGAAAAAATCTTTAAAAATTTTCTTCTCAAGAACCACTGGGCCAGAAAAGCTAAAACTTATGTGGAAGCATCCTGGGGTAGTGTAGATTCTAAATTGTAAAAACCATGACCCCCAGGGGTAGGGCAGGGCCACAATAGGGAATCCAAGTTTTACATTGAAATATGTAGAAAAAATCTTTAAAAATCTTCTTCTCAAGAACCACTGGGCCAGAAAAGCTGAAACTTATGTGGAAGCATCCTGGGGTAGTGTAGATTCTAAATTGTAAAAACCATGACCCCCGGGGGTAGGGCAGGGCCACAATAGGGAATCCAAGTTTTACATTGAAATATGTAGAAAATATCTTGAAAAATCTTCTTCTCAAGAACCACTGGGCCAGAAAAGCTGAAACTTATGTGGAAGCATCCTGGGGTAGTGTAGATTCTAAATTGTTCAAATCATGACCCCTGGGGTAGGGCGGGGCCACAATAGGTATTACAAGGGGGAAATCGGGTGAAAAACAGCAAGGCCAAAGTTACTCAGGTGAGCGTTGTGGCCCATGGGCCTCTTGTTTAGCTCACCTGAGCCGAAGGCTCAAGTGAGCTTTTCTGATCACATTTTGTCCGTCGTCCATCCGTCCGTCTGTCTGTCTGTCTGTCTGTCCGTCCGTCTGTAAACTTTTCACATTTTTGACTTCTTCTCAAGAACCACTGGGCCAATTTTGACCAAACTTGGTACAAAGCATCCTTGGGGGAAGGGGAATTTAAATTGTTAAAATGAAGGACCAAGTCCCCTCACAAGGGAAGATAATCAAGAGAAGACAAAAATAGGGTGGGGTCATTAAAAAATCTTCTTCTCAAGAACCACTGGGCCAGAAAAGCTGAAACTTACATTGAAATATATAGGAAAAATCTTAAAAAATCTTCTTCTCAAGAACCACTGGGCCAGAAATACTGAAACTTAAATGGCAGCATCCTGGGGTAGTGTAGAATCTAAATTGTTCAAATCATGACCCCCGGGGGTAGGACGGGGCCACAGTAGGGAATCCAAGTTTTACATTGAAATATAAGAAAAATCTTTACAAATCTTCTTCTCAAGAACCACTGGGTCAGAAATATTGAAACTTATATGGAAGCATCCTGGGGTAGTGTAGAATCTAAATTGTTCAAATCATGACCCTGGGGATAGGGCGGGGCCATAATAGGGAATCCAAGTTTTACATTGAAATACATAAGAAAAATTTTTACAAATCTTCTTCTCAAGAACCACTGGGCCAGAAAAGCTGAAACTTATATGGAAGCATCCTGGGGTAGCTTAGATTATAAATTGTTCAAATCATGACCCCCGGGGTAGGGCGGGGCCATAATAGGGAATCCAAGTTTTACATTGAAATACGTAAGAAAAATCTTTACAAATCTTCTTCTCAAGAACCACTGGGCCAGAAAAGCTGAAACTTATATGGAAGCATCCTGGAGTAGTGTAGATTATAAATTATTCAAATCATGACCCCCGGGGGTAGGGCGGGGCCACAGTAGGGAATCCAAGTTTTACATTGAAATATATAAGAAAAATCTTTAAAAATCTTCTTTTCAAGAACCACTGGACCAATAAAGCTGAAACTTATTTGGAAGCATCCTGAGGTAGTGTAGATTCTAAATTGTTCAAATCATGACCCTCGGGGGTAGGGCGGGGCCACAATAGGTTTATTAAAAGGGTGGAAATCTGGTAAAGAACAGCATGGCCAAAGTTACTCAGGTGAGCGATGTGGCCCATGGGCCTCTTGTTTCTATACTGATACGTATCACTATGTTTGAGACTTTTTTCTATACTGATACGTATCACGATATTTGAGCTACGATACAATATGTATCACGATATGTTGAATTGGTTATAAAATCTTTTCTTGTACTGAAATGCACAAAACTACAAAAGCCGGATAGGCTCATTTTTGACAAGATAAAAAAAATAGCTCGTTATAACGAGATAGTTATCTTGTTATAACGAGTTAGTATCTCGTTATAACGCGCTAGTAATCTCGTTATAATGAGTTAGTATCACGTTATAATGAGTTAGTTATCTCCTTATAACAAGATAATTATCTCGTTATAACAAGTTAGTTATCTCGTTATAACGAAATAGTTTTCTCTTTATTTCGAGATTTAATAGGAATATACATGTAGGAATAAAAGTGGCAGTAGTTTTTTTAATGCCATTGAATTTTTAGCTAGTAATAATCAGTCAAATTTAACTTGAACAATTGATAAATGGTTGAAAATTTAATTTGCTCTGGGGTTTACTTTTGATTAAATTTTAAACTATCTCGCTGTCAATAATCATATTTTGATAAGTATAGCAACTCTAAGCGAACACATTTACACATTAATCCGTGAACGCCTCCTGAAATTGTTGCATTAGGACGTGATATTTTTCTTTAAAAATATTGCCAAATATACTTGCTTTAAACTTTATCAATTAATTTATGACAACTATTTCTGATGAATGACACTATTTTGACATGTTTTCGACGACTTATACACTTTCATAAATCAATTTCTATACCGCTAAGATTAAATATCAGAGACAATATAAGTGCAACATATCGCAAGCGTTTATGCAACATATAATATATATACGATTACAGTGTGACACATGTTATTTTTGAGATTCAGAAATGTTTTGAAGAAAAAGGATGGTGAGACATCAGCAGTTAGATCATAGGCGTAGTAAGGGGGGGGGGGGGCGCTAATGTCCCCACCACCACTTTTGAAAAGGGGGCGGTCAAGAGTATCTTTGTGTCCCTTCCTCCAGATTTTTTTTTACCTGAGTAAATATCTCTCGAAAATAATGCGGAATACTCGTAGTTGGAACATCAAATCTCTTTTGTTTTCTTTTTGCTTGTCAAATATTTTACTTGGTTTACCCCCCTTCCCCCTTGAACTTTGAGACTATGCTTATGCAGATTGACCACGATGATTAGGAATGATAAAGCAAAAATGATATTACATCCTTCTAAGTAATGTCTTTAGATCTGATCTGCTGATATTGACATTTTATCTAATCTATTCTAATCTAATCTATTTTATCTATTCTGTCATGATTAACTGTTTATATTTGGGGGGGGGGGGGGGGGGTCCAAGCTGTGGAGATTCACGTAGACCTTTTTGAGATTCACGTCTATTTGGCGGATCCTATGTTTACCACATGGTGACAAAACATCAAACCAGAGTTTACAATACCAAAAAAAGTTTACAGAGTTTACAAAGCCAGTTCAGTTTTATAATCTTTTAACTAAGATTGATCAACAAATTGGCCTAATACTACATGTATATTATTAATACAACTTTGAAGCAATGTCATCAATTATTTTCCAAATCACAATATTTATTATGTAAACTTTGCAACGATATAATTTTTATTTCAAAAAGAGATTGATGATTTTTTTTTTGGGGGGGGGGGGGGGGGAGGGGGGGTAATAAATAGAGGATATTCAATGTTTTGTA